AGGTAGTAGGGATCGATGCTACTGCTGCTGCTGCGGGATAAAATCTCGCCATCGCGACCCGTTTCCTCTTTTGCCGCAATCACTATATATTCCGTACTTCACTGTATACCATAGTCGAAGCTTTTCATCGGGGTCGCTGCATACTGCATCTAGGAAGTCGTGTCCTTCGAAGAAGCTGGAGCCTGCACCTGCACTTTCTGCACACTGCCTCCTCTAGCACGGAGATTCGCGCGAGCACTCGCGCGCATACGTGGGACACGAAATTAATCGATCCCGCAGGTCCTACCTGCGCGATATAGGCTGCAAATACTGCGCGCGTATACGTGCAATGTGGAAGAGGGGTAGAAGGGCAACAAGTGCTCTCGCGCCAACAGCTGGGCTGGATCGAGACTCGCATGCGCCGACTCGACAGCTCCTCTTTACTTCCCCTTTTTGCCTTTTTTCGGTTCAAGTTCAGACCATGGAAAGTTTCTGTTTATCTCTTTCTCTTTCGTTTCGCATAGGCGTACGAGTCTAAAGACGTATCGCAAACCAAATTGCGCGCGCGCGCGCTCAAGTAGATAATATACGACTCTCGTGCATTTCACCGGGCTGCTCTCTTATCCGCATCAATTGGCAATTGTCCCCCCGGACGCCGCGCCTGAAAAAAAAGTAAAGTCGTTCATGGTGTGAAACGATGACTTGATACAACGACACGTTTGAATCGGATCTAATGATGCAATTGCTAAATATAGAATTAATCGAGATCTTATACCGAGCTCTCGGTTTCCGCCGCTCCTTATGCACGCCAAGTGTAATCACGCCCGAGATGAATTGAAAAAGTATATCGGAATCACGTTGAATTCGTCCGTGTACCACTGCTCTGCGTCGCGCGCTCGACATCGATGCAAAACGTGAGAGCGGCGTGCTTTTTGTTGATCGGTTTGTGCATTCGATGCAACACTTTTACGATGCCTCTCTCTAATCGAGGGATTACGATTTTCTCGCTACTGCTCCAGAAAGATCATCGCGCGCGCACGCGACGAATCGCGTGAGCTTTATGGCAGGTGCGAATGTGACACTAGCGTTGTGCGCACTAAACTTAATCTTTCTTATCTGTATACGAGTATTACGCATTAGCGAGTCCTAGCCTTACTGCGACAATTCTGCGATTCTCCAAAACACTCGGGCGTGTCCGCAAAGGCCACGTGCATACAGAATCGTATTCCCATGATCTCGTGACCAGTTTTTTGCCTTTCAGTATTTATGTCATTTAAAAAAAAAAAAAAGATGAGAAAAATAACGATTCCATGACGACCCGATAAGGTGGCAGAGACCCACAATGTCTCAATTGTGGGCAAAAACTATAATCTCGAGCGCGCGCGCAAGTGCGTTAAACGTGTGCGCCAATGCTAGTGCTGCTATAGTATATAGTGGCCGATGAAAAACGGGCTTTCAGAGTCAAGGTCTCTCTCTGCATCGGAAAAGAAGGAGGGTGTATACGCGAGCACGTGAGTGTCGCGCTTACATTAATTAGCGCACTCGACGTTAACGAGCCAATGTACTTTGCTTTTTACGCATCCGAATGATTTTTTTTCGGAATAGATGCGCAATCCTACATACGTGACCAAGTTTCAATGCCCGCGGAGAAAACTTGTGTAGAGTTTCGATCGCACCAAGCCCATTTCTTATCGATATTTTACTCCTATAATATGTAAAATTGACTGGTTAAAGACAAAAATTCTTGTGAGAATTTTTTTTTATTTTGGATCGAACACAAATTGAAGAATAAAAACCAATCTAGATGCCACTTGTAAGTGCAATTGTATCATGTAAATTCTTATCAGTAGTTATCTTCTCGCAATCGATGTAATATAAGACTCACTGGTAGCTTGACTTACGAGCTATGTCTCATAATCGCAGATTTACTCGTTACATTATTTGCCGGCATTTAAATTTTACGATTAGAGAACAAGATTGATGCTACTCTGAATTACGCAATGCAAATACACACACTTGATCCTTTGCAGAGCAAGTTGCAAATCTGAATAATTGGTTCGTAACGCTAATGGCCTATATGGCTTAGTACACGGTTGAACTCAAATATAGCGGGAGAGAAAAAATTCCTTTCATTAACAAATTGGTTATAATGGGGAGTCGAAGTTGATGCAAATTTTTTTTAAAAAAATTTCATATATTTTCCTTACAAAATTCAATGAACAAAGTGGAGCCATTCAAAAATTACTATTACGTTAAACGTACGCACGCACGTTATACGTACGCGAGGTGCAAAGGCGCAGAATGTAGACGTAATAAAGTAAATGCGCCAATAACTGCCATCTTGGATTGTTTAAGCTGAAAAATGTTAATACTGAAATAGAACTTTTCGTGTATGAGTTTTTCTAATAAACGTAATAATAGTCAATATGAAATTTGACATTTTCCACTATTGCGATCTTGATGTCTCCATGAACTTGGCATACGTTTTCCTGTCTATAAGTTTCATCTTTGAAATGAGGGTCAATTAATTGAACAAAATACAAAAGTCAATGATTTTTTTCAGAATAATTTTATTTATAATTGTGCTTAGTTCAATTTAATTATAAACGTATAAAAAAAGTATAATTCAAACATGTACGAAGTAATGATTAACTTTCGAGGCATTTGTAATCGTAAAATTAATTTAAATGAACATTTTAACAACTACAACAATAATAGTAATAACAGTGATAATAATGATAATAATAAATAATAATTGCACGATTTTGCTGGTGCGAGGCACAATCGGAGCGAAACATGTACAGCTTAACTCTAGTATGCAGTAAACGTATCGAATTTTTGCCGAAGGTCCTATACCATGAGACACTTCATTGGCAACTTCATGACAATATTTATAATTTAATATTTGTACAAATTTTCATTGGTGCTAGTACTAGGCTCGTATATATGGAAGACCGAGAAATTTCTGAACCTTCGCTCGATCTACAGTTCAAAGGCGCGCGCGCGAGTCCATTGTCCACTGTGACAATCGCACACAATAATGTCGTACATGTGCACTTGTATACATATACACACTTTCCAACGAATCAAAATACATAACAATTAAGTTAGTTGAGGAATACGAGAAGAAAAGAAGCTTCTCGAGGGAAAGATTCGATGAGGCGCGTTACAACGCGTTTATGCGTACATAGTATTAATTAAGGCCATTAACATTTTTATTGCCTCGGTGCATTTCCATTCGTCTTATAGTGGGGTTTAATCGGATCGAATCGCGATTTTTCAATCGATCGCAAGCGCCGTGTGCGCCTTCTCTTTTGTATTATACGCATATATTCTATATCAAACTGCTGCGCTCGGGCGGAACAATTGAGAAGAATCTCGAAATGGAAAGATCCCATGTTACTTCGAGGCGCATTGATGGATCTCGAAGAGACAATAAATCATTCATCAGCGACAATTGACAATGACAGTCCTTAGGGGGGGCATATACAATAGAGCCGAGATATATATACACAAGACGATTGTCCGGGACACGCGCTAAGATCGGTTGAAAGGATCCTCGTGCGCAATAGATTAGTATACAAGCGCGATGTGTGTTGAGCGCCAAATTGGCGCTAATAGCGCGATTACTAATTTACAGGCCGTTTACGTACGCAAACCATTGATACCCATATACGCAGACGTATTTTGAGGAATAGGAGATAGCGGATAATGGAAATGTACCGGCTACAAACGCGAGTTTCGATACAATCATAATGTGCTACTTAGCCCTATCCTTCGACCGGTTGGTGTAATCGATCTTTTCGACACGAATTATATTGCTAATATATTTCAAAGCACAGTCCGGATAGTCTATGCATTTCGATGCTCTAAGATTCGACTATGAAAACAGGCAAAAATCCGTATTCGCGGTTTCCGTATTCGCGATTTTTCGTATTCGCGGTTCGCTCATTTGATACCCAATTTCAGTATTCGCGGTTTTAAAGGTTATTTATTTTCGCGTGTGTAATATTTTCGGAAAATTTTTTTAAATTTGTTTTAAAAAATGGCTCCACAATTGCGAAACGTGCCCGAGAAGAAACGTGGTAAAAAAGTATTAAATTTTGCCGAAAAAATCAAAATCCTACATGCATTGGCCACTGGCTAGAAAATTGCTTTTGTCGCAAGAAGAAAAAGAGCTGTTCGATTTAATAACGTCGAGTCAAGCTTTTAGGGTCGAAGAATTCGAGAGTATAGTGCAAAATTCAGCAGATGAGGAAATGGTTGAAGATGTAGATCCAGAACCCGTACTTACTTCCAAAATGATCAGGAATATTTTAGCAGACGCAGAATGTCTTATTGAAAAAGCATTAACTTATGATCCTACCATGTCTCGGAGTCTTCAGTTTAAACAAGATATTGAAAAATCATTACAGTGCTATAAGAATTTGTACAAAGATTTATTGCGCAGAGCAAAGCAACAAAGCTTAACTCAATATTATTCTAAATTACATCATAAATTTGATTTTCAAAGAAAAAATTTTTTTTCTAATATGCATACATGAAAATTTTAGTTGAGCAAGGAACCGAACCCCCCTTTTTCCATAAGAGCAATGTTTCCGTATTCGCGGTACTTTTTTGGAACAGAACCCCCGCGAATACGGAGGTTAGCCTGTATTAATGTCTCGTTCAACAAATTTTCTCTTTTTTTTCTTCTATCTTTCATATTAATTGACATTTTTCTATACGCTTTTAACTATTTTTAGACTCTTTCGTTGCCAATGCTCACGAGCAGCAACGCGGACGAGTCAATGTCAATCATGCACCGCTTCGATCCGAAGATATAACTATACTCTGCGGATTATTACATACGATTTTCTTCTCGTTTTTCCACCTAAGAAAAATAATTAGCCGATAATTCCTAGACATTAGAATAGCGCGTGATTGTTACACGCGCTAGCTGCTGCGATTAGAATACAATATATATGTTGGCGTGATTTAATTTTTCTCACACGTTTTTTCCTTATTTCTCTCTGTTTCAGACGCTTGCTTGAGATGTCAAGCTGACAGCAAAAAAGATTTTTACGGCAAGCAGGACTGCGTGGTCGTCTGGGGCGAGTGCAATCATTCGTTCCATTATTGCTGCATGTCGCTCTGGGTCAAGCAAAACAATAGGTGTCCACTCTGCCAGCAGGAGTGGTCCATTCAGAGAATGGGCAAGTGAATGGGCTACGACGACGACGACGATGCAGCACTCCCATCGTCGATCTTGACGTACCACGACTACTGTTACCACCGCGGGCCCAATATCGATTGCCTGAATTTGTGTAAACGATCTCCCGTAAATTTTAATAAGAACTGACAAAGTGTACGAATCCGCTATAGATTCAATTTTTAAGTAAAGATCTATGCCCTTGTGATCTACTATTTTCACCGATAAATTAATGAAATAAATTTTTTATAACGCTATCGTTAATCTATTTATTCCTTTCCCTTTCTTACTTGCTGGTATTCGCGAGGTTGCATCATGCTCCCCTTCGCGCCAAGATTTTTTCGTTTCTTAAAAAAAGACGCGCCGAGTCTCGATGCATATTACGCGTCTGGGTTAAACCGCATTGTCTTGCCATGTATATCGGCGCCAATATAGAAGGATTAAAAGCTTAATAATTGATTATACGAGTTAAATATTGCCCATACACCGTTGCAAAGCAGGTATATATAATATTGATTGCATACATGTATGATACTTGACGAGCAAGAAAAAAAAGGGGGAAGGAGAGAGAGAGAGAGAGAGAGAAGGCGGAACAGCGCCGTGTTAACGTCTTAAGCCCGATCGTGTACGTAGGCGATTTTATATATACGTATATATGTATAATACGATATATTTACGTCACTTGGAGGCTCGACTCGACGCTTAGCCAATCGTGTGGCGTCGTCGAAGGCACTTTTCCTCGTCGTCTCACTGTGACTTATTCTTTCACACACACACGCTCGCGCATACACACGCGTATACACACACTACATACGCGTAAGTCGATTTGTTTGCTTTTTTCTTGCTTTTTTTTTTTATTATCATCAGCCGCGTTCGAGTCGTCGAGCATTCGAAGAATGCTGAAAACGAATCGGCTCGTTGCGTCAGCCCAAAACTGTATACACGTTCACGCATGGGTATCCTGACTTTGCTTTTATTTTTACATTTTTTGACAAAATGGCTTTTTAGCCTTTTTTTCGTTGAAAAAAAAGCTGCGCTGTTTGCATCAACTGCTTACAGGTTTGTACTCGCTTTTGGACTGAATTACTTTTGGATGAAAAAAAAAAAAAACAAAACGAATTTACTTGAATTTTATGCAACGAATGATTATTAAAGCCCATTTTGATCCTATTAAGTTTAGCAAGTGTGTGTGTGTGTGTGTGTGTGTGTGTACTGCGTGCGAGAGACACGTCAACGTGTTGCAATTTGCACTTTCACCGTGTGGATCGTTGCCGCGCGCATTTACTAAAATGGTGCAACGAACTGTCCTCGCCCGATACGCGCGCGAGCCGCTTTTTTCGTAGCTATTTTTGGCGCAAAGGCATTATTTACAACAATGTTCATTGTGTGTTCATCGACGATGGCTCATTGCGTTGCATCATTTGATCCGAGTTGCGCGCGGGGGTGTATAACGCGCGTCTGCGAGCGCGGAATGAACGTGTGAACGAAAAAATCACGAGATCGGGAGGAAATATCTTGAGTCCTTTTTTTCTCTCTGCCTGCAGTAAGTGATAGTTACTTATATTATACTCCAATCCAGATGGAAATTTGGGTTCATTTTAATCTTCAATACTCCTTTCAAACTTATTGAATAACTTTTCATACTTTTATGTTTATTAGGGAGATACAGATGCTATTAGCCGATCTCTGATATCCCTTAACATTATTTCTCGGTTTTGCATGCTATATTTTTTACACGCTCTCTAATGTATCAGTTGTGTGAGCATTACTAGTTCTGGGGGCACGGCTTTGTGTATATATATTCGTTTCACGATGACGATGTCAATTATTCCACGCTCGAGTTGCATCACGTTAAAAAACGCAAAAAAAACGTGCACTGTCACGCGAGAAGCCGCGAACAACTCTTTCGACGAACTAAATTGAGCATTGCACCGACAGCAAATCTATCAATTCCTTAATGAACGAACGTATCGTGCGTGTTTGCGACCGATCGAATGAATTAGGAAGTGCGATGAAATGTGCATTCTAGCTGAAAATCCATGCACGCAAGTCTTAAAGATTAAATTGTCTTAGCTCGAGCTTCGATGGTAGAAAATAATCCAAGATAGGCGCCTTGGCGTCACTCGGATATAATAAACGATTTGTCATGTACCAATTGGCTCTCGTGACTTGTTTCTATCATGAGTTTACAATTTCGAACGTGTATTATGTGTATATATGGTGCATTATTTCAAAAGCGTGATATGACATGTCTTGTTATTGTAGCTATTAGAAAACTTTGAAAAAATGAAAACTAAGACGGTAGAACCTTTCATTTTACCGAATTTTACCTTCCGCAACTATAAAATTTCTATAAAAAAAGACCACATCGATTTGCCAGCCGGATAAACACACCAAATGTCCCCTCCGTGACCTGTCCTGAACTCAGAATCGATTGTTTTCACTCATTAAAAATATTTTTACAAGTATCCAGCAATATTGTGATACATGGGCCTTATTCTATACATCCTAAAGAAAGTTTTTTTGTATGACTCGTCATCTTAAATAGTCTCAAAACAATTGTACATAAGTTACAAATGTGTCCTTAAATTATGTGAAATTTTACATCATTACAAATATAGTGCCAGTAAACGTGCTAGACAATAATTTTGACCTCTCTAACTATACGAGGGTCATCTTTCAGAACTAAAGTACTCGATTTTTACCCGTAGAATATTCAAATCTTAGTTGCAGCTTCACTATAACAATACTTGCACACGAAAATCGTACTAGTAAAATAAAGTGTCCCCTCCGTGATCGACGAGTTTTTGAGCTAGCACTTTTTATTTTTGAATCTGCTGGCGTAAAAACGTTCGTCTTTACAAACAATTTTTGTGCGTGATCGGAAAAAAAATTTTCAACTTTGTTGTCGTCGTGAAATTTGATGAAAGTGCGATTTGTCCCCTCCGTGAGTGTCCCCTCCGTGACAAATTTTCATGTTTGCAATAAGAAAATAAACGGATTAGATGATGGCCGGTAAAAAGTGAATATTCCATGAATAAACAAAGAATCAAGTGTCAGAAACTACGGGGGTCCGGAAAAATTAAACTCAAAATAGAAGAAAATAAGTTTTTCAATTTTTCCAATATTGCCCATTTTACCCACTCCAAATATCACACTTTTGAAATAATGCACCATATACGCAAATTTCAACTACTATTACAGCGTCGTACATAGCATATTCTTTATGAAAAATGTATATCCGCACGAATCGACGAGATAATTTTGTGATAATGATGTATTTCGAAATATTTACGCCTATCAAAATTAATATATGAAAATGCTTTTAACCCGCGACGAACAAAACTTTTAATCTATAAATGTCTGACCACACGAAGAGAATGAGAAATACGAGAAGGTCAATGTAAGAGGCTCGACTTTCAACTGACCAATAGCAGAACTGGCTCAATGATGTATGAAAAAAAAGAATGAGTACGCTCTAGATCTCATCTATACTATACAATAATTGTACTCTCTAGGTAACTTTTTGATTACAAATAATTTTTATTATCTTGAAAGCAAATTAACCCATTCAAGCACACAGTGACGAAATTCGTACGTTATCGATCGATGCGATTTTTTCCGATTTTTTGGACCTAAAAACTTCACACATACATACTTTTATGTAAAATAATAAGATAAATAGTTAAATTTATTGATTCTTGCGCATAACATAAAATTTTCATCGATTTAAATCCAGTTTAATTCAAAAATTAACTTGAACACGATTTTTTCTTATCCCTTTCTGCTAGTACCATGTCTCAATCAATTTGAGATAAATTATGAAAACTACCGTCTTATGTTTTTAAAGATGCTCTTTTCAATTGCGACGTTTAAAATTGTCCAGATTAACAATTTACCATGAAAAATAAAAAATTCGCCAAATGATAATAGAGCGAGGGTGGATTCCATCAGCGACTATCAAGACAGGCACGCGTTGAAAAAGAAAAAACGTTGGTTGCCATAAATTCGTGAAGAGGCGGCGTAAACTATAGTTCAAGCAGCTCAATTGGCTCGGTGAACTCGCAAAACCCACGTAGAAATAGGACATGGTCGGGCAAAATTTCACGAGAAAAAAGCTCGAGATGCAACTCGTTCAAATACGAGAGCAGCTAGCGGCAACTTATCGGCAGGTAATAGAGAGCGCGACATTGCCGCTACTCCGAGGAGCAATCGTCCAAAAAGGACACGTTCGAGAATCCAAGTCGAGAGAAGCGCGTGTCGAATCAATTGCCTCAGACGAAGACGATCGTGCTGCTGCGGCTACGTGGGAAAATTGATGAAACTGTTGCGAGACTCCCGAGGAAATACATGTATTTTTATAGGAACTAAATGTCATTTATTGAAATAATCAACGTGCAATTAATTACATCAGCTGTTGGTAATTAGTTGTAAATAAACTGTTGGAAACGACTAGCAGCCTTACCAACCAAGTTGTAGTTGCTCTCGCCACCACCTAAATGCGCCCGTACTTGTCTCACTCGAAATGATCACGCGCTGCCGCGAGTATGAATGGATCATAGCTGAGAAAAGCTATAAAACTATATGGGGATCGCGACTTCACCGATTTCGGAAAATAGGGCGTGCAAGACACGTGCCTAATCCTTGATCCATACATCGACCTCTTTATGTACGCAGCAAACGCCTAGGCGGGGTCAAAGTTAGGGGCTTACAAAACCTCCGGTAAAAGAGGATCGTTCGCTCTGTGTGTTTCGTCAATTTTGTAAAGCACGTATCGATTCATTATTCTCAAGCTTTGTAATTTCATTAATGATTTGATTTATATAGTAAATATTTATATACAAATTTTATTATTTTTATCCGATTTTATTTTTATTTTTGCGAGGATTACATTTTTAATTGAATATCGAGCAGTATTGAAAGCAGTTGCAATTAACGAATCGATTTTCACGCGTTAAAAGTGAAACGAGTATGTTTTTCACCGATCACATCTTCCAGTACGGTGGACCTCACAGACCGATCGTATGCGCAAGAGTGACGAAGATACAGTAGATTAACTCCGTCTTCGTCACAAAGAAAAAGCTCTCTCATTGCATTGGTGTTATTTTTTCTTGTTTTAATTGTGCGTGCTTCTCATATCCGAGAAGCTGTCATTGCCACCGTTTGGCCGTTCATCCTCTTTCCTCTCGTATCTATCGGTTTAAGTGTTGTACGGTGGGTGTATGCGCTTATCCGATCGCCGTTTGGAAATACTAAA